TAGTCATGTGAGATATTCTATCCTATTAAAAATATCGATTAGCAGCTACATACATTACTGCAATGAATGGATGCACCTGACTGGGAATAATGCTTGGATACTAAGTGCCATTCAAGCATTCTTCCACTTTCATTAGGAAGCAACCAACTGTTTTCCACGTAAGCACATTGCACACCATCACAAGGATATATTTTGTCTCAAGCCAGCAAGCTCTAGAAGGTAATATCCAGAAGACAAGTAAAAAGATGGGAATAGCTGGATGGAGCCATGCTTGTGAATAGATTTGCATGTTGGTCTTGCAACCTTTTAGTAGATGGTGAAGAGAGGCATGGCTAGGGGCTTACCTCCCAAGCTCCCTACTTAGTAGGGACTGCCCCTATTGTGAGTCCAAATCCCTCTGTACCTATTTTCTATTCTAATGTCCCTCTTTTCTGAAGACACACTGTCACTTTGCAGGTTTTGCCTTTATCTTAATCTATTTTAACACCCCTATTTTCCCTTGTTTTTATTTTTTAATTCACCTTATATACTAGTGATACATAAGAAAAAATAGAGACTGCTCTTTTCTTATGGAGAGTGACATTTTAGAGTGGCCTTTTATTGTGGCCAGCCTAAGGCACATCTGTGCAATAATCATGCTGTCTAATCAGCATCTTGATGTGCCACACCTGTGAGGTGGATGGATTATCTCAGCAAAGGAGAAGTGCTCACTAACACAGATTTAGACAGATTTGTGAACAATATTTGAGAGAAATAGACCTTTTTGTGTACATAGAAAAAATCTTAGATCTTTGAGTTCAGCTCATAAAAAATGGGGGTAAAAACAAAAGTGTTGCGTTTATAATTTTTTTTTGTTCAGTGTATATATATATATATATATACACACACACACACACATCATAATTCATATATATGTTCCTAACAGCCCAACAGAAATACCAGAGAATTTAATTTGCAAGCCCTATATTTGACCCTGTAACTTACCAAAGCACCATAGAACCAGCACATGGGGGGCATCGTTGCATTCGTGGGACATCACAGTATACAAATATGTGTGTTTTATTGCAGTAAAAGTTAACAGTATTATAAAACTCACAGTTAAAATGCAATGCAGAACTTGTAAAATAACATTTCTTAATTTCTCACACTTTTTTTTAGATTTCATATATATTCAATTGTTTTATATATAAGTATTTGATGTGAAATAAAAGCCCTATTTCTCTTCAGCAAAATAATATATAATAAGTGTAGGTAAATTATGATTTAACAGACATATAGAATACAAAGCTGGACAGATGCATCTGCCCTTAAGGGGTTAAAAACGACCAAAACATTTCACAAAACCTTGTGGCCCTATCATGGTGTAAATTAGTAGCTGTTTACACTTGAGCTACATTCACACACGTCCAACTTAAATTGAAGGCCTTCATTAATTTCGATAGTAGATAAGGCTGTCAGAAACACCTGTCAGAGATCAGTAATGTCAGGGGCTCAAATAAGTCTAAGGATAGATTCTGTATACATCGATTGCTTGACCTGTGAATATTGTTTGCTCTCCTTTTTTAAATTTTTTTTTTTATAATTTTTCATGAGTGTAATCAGCGTTTAAGGTTATAATAAGAGATAGAGTTATCAACATGGCATACAGTCTGGTTAAGTAAGTACTAATCTAAAGTAGTGTTAAAGGGACACTATAGACACCCAGACCACTTTTTCTCAATGATGTACTCTGGGTGCCATGTCCCCAGGCCCGGACTGGCCATCAGGCATACCGGGCAAATGCCCGGTGGGCCGCGATGGCCGTGGGGCCGAGGCCGGCAGGGAAATCACAGGATCTCCCATGCCAGCCCCTGCAGGGCCAGCGCTATCCGAGCGCCGGCCCTGCTGTGTGCCTCCATGGGCCGGTGGGGAGATCAAAGATCTCCCTCACCGGCCCACAGGAAGTTACAGGCGGCCGACGGCTGGGGAAGGAGGGAGGCAGGAGAGAGGACCGGCGGAGCTCTAACCAGCAGCTCCGCCGGGTCCTCTCGCGGGATTCTGAGCGTTGCCGCGGTTACCACGGCAACGCTCAGATCTCGCGAGAGTGAACTCTAACCTGCAGGTTAGAGTTCACTCTCACCACTGGACCACCAGGGAAGCATGACAGCATGCCCCCCTCATGGCAACACGGCCCCCTCTAGGCTAAAGGTAAGAAGGGGGGACATAACTTTTTTTTTTAATTATTAATAAAAAAAATATAAAAATAATTTCCCAACAGCCCCCCACACACACAGCCCCCAGACACACACAGCCCCCAGACACACACAGAGCACCCCAGACACACACACACACACAGCACACCCAGACACACACACAGCACCCACAGACACACACAGCACCCAGACACACACAGCACCCAGACACACACAGCACCCCCAGACACACACAGCACAGACCCCAGACACACACACACAGCACCCCCAGAAACACACACAGCACCCCAGACACACACACACAGCACACAGCACCCAGACACACACACAGCACCCCCAGACACACAGAGCGCACCCCCAGACACACACACAGCACCCCCAGACACACACAGCACCCTCAGACAGACAGCACCCTGACTCCCACACATATACAGCACATATATATTATATAAAATAACCCTCAGTGAGTTAACAGACAAATAAAATTAGAAACCCAGAATGTGACGGCAGATAAAAACACCCTCACACACAGCACTACTCTTACACAAACACACTGCGCACCTCACACATACAATAAGTCCAAATATATTATATATATATACACACACACACACACACACACACACACACTACAGCACCCCTCACACTCCAGATACACGCTAGATCCCTTACCCTATATGCACTCTTAATCCTCTACACACACACACACACACACACACAATCTTCTATACACACTCTGGGTTCTTTACACACTAGATCTCTTACACACACACTGCACCACCTACACACACACTACATTCCTTGTAAGCAAACACATACAACATTCTCTAAACACACCCTCTCTACAAACCCTACACACACTACGTCACCTATACACACACAATACTGCCCGTATGCACAGACTCGCTACATCCCCTATAACACTATGCCTCTATACACACACTCTCTACAGCCCCTAGCCACACATATAACACCCCAAAATTGAACTATTTACACAATACCACACTACACTCTACACACAGGCAATCCCACAAGCATGCGCCAAACACATGCACCATACACTTTCCTGGCCCTTTTGTCCTCTGGTATCCCACTTGTGGAGACACCAGAGACAATTTAAAAGCAAACACAGCACAAGCATGTTATTACATTTGCTTGCGCTGCGCAGAACAAATACAGGGCTTTTTTCTAATGCTAGAGCTCTTCAGCGGGGCTCTGCGCATTGAACCAACATGCTCACTTTGAGAGGGGGCGTGCTTGTCATTAGTGATGACAAAACACACCCTCTCTGGCCCCGCCCCCTTCTTGGGGGGCCGCTCTAATTGAAAAATGCACGGGCCTAATTTTTTCCCAGTCCGGCCCTGCATGCCCCCCTCATTTTAATCTTGCTATGTAAAATTTTCCCATTCTGGCAATGTTAACAGAACTGAGTTTAAATCCCTCTAGTTGCTGTCCCTTTGACAGGAGGTGCTTCCTCCGAAACAGCTGAGTAAAACTTCTGATTAGCACAGCACGGCATTCTGCCACACATGCACACTAGCCTCCCTATCCTTTTACTATGTGAAATCATACAAAGTCTGCAGGTCACTTTTTCCAATAAG